TCTCTATCAATGATCTGGACGAGGGAATTGAGTGTATCCTCAGTAAGTTTGCAGACAAAGCCAAGTTGGGTGGGAGTGTTGATCTGCTTGAGGGTAGAAAGGCTCTGCAGAGGGATCTGGACAGGCTGGATCTATGGGCCAAGGCCAATTGTATGAGGTTCAACAAAGCCAAGTGTCAGGTCCTGCACTTGGGTCACAACAACTCCATGCAATGCTACGGGCTTGAGGAAGAGTGGCTGGAAAGCTGCCCAGCAGAAAAGCACCTTAGGGTGCTGCTCTACAGCCAACTGAATATGAGCCACCAGTGTGCCCAGATGGCCAAGGAAGCCAATGGCATCCTGGTTTGTATCAGAAATAGTGTGGTCAGCAGGACTAGGCAAGTGATCGTACCCCTGTACTCGGCACTGGTGAGGTCGCACCTCAAATCCTGTGTTCAGTTTTGAGCCCCTCACTACAAGAAAGACATTGAAGTGATGGAGTGTGTCCAAAGAAGGACAACGAAGCTGGAGAAGGGTCTACAGAACAAGTCCTATGAGGAGCAGCTGAGGGAACTGGGGTTGTTTAGTCTGGAGAAAAGGAGGCTGAGGGGAGACCTTATCAATCTCTACAACTACCTGAAAGGAGGTTGGAGTGAGGTGGGGATTGGTCTCCTCTCCCAAGTAACAAGTGATAGGATGAAAGGAAATGACCTCAAGTTGCACCAGGGGAGGTTTGGATTGGATATTAGGAAAAATTTCTTCACTGAAAGGGTTATCAAGCATTGGAAGAGGCTGCCCAGGGAAGTGGTTGAGTTGCCATCCCTGAAGGTATTTAAAAGATGTATAGATGTGGTGTTTAGGGACATGGTTTAGTGGTGGACTTGGCAGTGTTAGGTTAGTGGTTGCACTTGATGATCTTAAAGGTCTTTTGCAACCTAAATGATTCTATGACCCTCTGTCACGCTGCTTTTATTAAGCATTAATACTGGCAACAGACTAGAGGATGCAGAAAAGCTGAGGTTAAAATTAAGCCACTTCATTGGAATTTAAGTCAGGAAGTAAAACATAGATGAATTTGCAAACTTTACAGGTTTGACTTTACTGCTATGGGATTTTATACTAGAATTGACTTTGGCTGGAACTTAGGAACTTGTCTGAAACCTTCCTCCTCTCCTCCCTCACCCCCCAATTTCACTGAGAGAGAAAAACTTCCTTTCTATATTAGCACCCACTTTCACCCTTCACTTCATCAACCATCTCACATTTCTGTCCTGGAAATGAAACAGAGAAGTGTTATCAATAGTTTTGTCTCAGCATTTATATTCAGAAACAAGACTGCAATAAGTCTGAATGTTTGGTTCCAACAGATGAGGGGAAAGAAGCCTTTAAAACATCTCTCCTCTAACATCTGAAAACTGAAGTAGGCTTTTCTCTCTCTTAAATATACAGTCTGTGAGAAAATGATGATGAGCCTAGGCAGCAAAGTTTAACAGAAGAATAAATCACAGTGGTACCTCAAGTTAGGTATGGGCTGAAGCAACTATGACAAAGAGAGACGCTCTAATGCTACTGAATCCCAAGGAAGTCTACGCAGACTTCCAGGAAGCATGTCAGTTAGAGCAATCATATTTAAGATGGGAACTAATACTAGTACAGTTCAGTATACTAGAAACTAGACAAAACTAATTTAATGTGAATCATTGGGCAGATGGTAGGCTGTAAACCTGCTTAAGGACAAGTGACCAATATGGAGACAAAACCCCATATTCTACTGCCAAATCTCTTAATCATCTATTTTCCTGTTGAATGTCTTTTCAGACCTTGTAGGTGAAAGAATTAAATTAAACAAATGCCAAATTTCAATAGATCAAAGATAAATGAACTTTTTTTCTTTTCATGAATGAAATAACCACCTGAAAATTTTTCTGCCATCTCTAATTATTTTGTCATCAACACGCTGCCTTGTTATGGTTTATAAAGTCCCATGTCACTACAAGCCAATAGGACATCAGCATCATCTTTTCAGCTTATGTCGCTGTTAACAGAATGGACATGAACCCTATCTGTACATACTGCCGTGAATATGAGAAGCAGCAGCAGTAATAAAAGAAAAAAATGTCAAGGGATGATAACAAAAACCCATGATGAGAATAGACTACAATTATGGCACAGGGCAAATATAGGTCAGCAAACATGCGTTGAGAAAGGATAGACAGAGTATTTTATTGCTTATCATGGTGCAGTGTTCAGTGTTCAAAGCTCTATACAGCTCCTGTCCTTTTTGCTAATGAGACACATTATTCCACAAACATAGTTCAGATCCTCCAGGCACAGTCCACTCTGCATATATCTTGTGTTTATATCCCTGGAAGAAAGTAAATACTTCAATTCTACTATACGGAATCACTTCCTTCCCAAAGTTGGGGTATGCCACTAATGTTTAAACCTATACTGAAACTTTCATAATGAGGGGACAAAATTAAAAATTTCTTTTCAGTGGTTCACAATGTTTGTACAGAGTTATAGGATTTGGGGATTTTGTTATTTTGAAGAAAACTGTGAGACCTCGTTTCCCAGAACAACTGCAGAAAAAAGAAAAGAGAAAGAAAAAAAAATAGAGAGATTTGGATTTTATTTGAGAAATTTGAGAAAATTCATTCTGTTCACAGAAATTCTAATAAATTCAAACTTCTGTGTCAAAAGATCTGCTAAGAAGAAACCAATAACGCTGACTTTCTCCTACTATTCTTAGGTGCGAGATATGAAGATATCTACCAGAAAAACAAGGTAAATTAGGAAATTTTGCTGTATAACCTACTTGCAGTTCTATCCAGAGGAAGGTAACCAGTGAGTGCGTGTATTTGTCAATACCCAAGAAATTTTAACTGTAACTGGAAATTGCAGCAAAAACCTGCCTTTCCAGGGCCTGCAACTGACAGGCAGTGGGGATACAACACTACCAGCTTCACTTCCATCACAAGCTAAAAATTTCCATCCAACTAGTTTTTAATCAAACTCTGTATTTAACATTACATGATAACACTGAAAACTTTTTAATTCTTTTTGATTATGCTGTCACTTGTTACTTATATAGAAAACTTCTGTTCCAATTTCTCCCCTTTTCCAAATTCATAGAATCATAGAATCGTCTGGTTGGAAGAGACCTTCAAGATCATCGAGTCCAACCATTCACCCTGCACTGTCAAGGTCCCTAAACTATATTGCTCAACACCAAATCTACATGTTTTTTAAACACCTCCAGAGATGGGGACTCCACCCCCTCCCTAAGCAGCCTGTTCCAATACTTCACAACCCTCTCTGTAAAGAAATTATTCCTGATATCTAACCTAAATTTCACCTGGCGCAACTTGAGGCCATTCCCTCTCGTCCTGTCATTCATAACGTGGGAGAAGAGACCGACCCCCATCTCCCTACGACTTCCTTTCTTAGGTAATTGTAGAGAGAGATAAGGTCTCCCCTCAGCCTCCTCTTCTCCAGACTAAACAGTCCCAGCTCCCTCAGCCACTCCTCATAGGACAAGTTCTTTAAACCCTTCACTAGTTTTGTTGCCCTTCTCTGAACCCGCTCCAGCACCTCAACGTCCTTCTTGAAGTGAGGGGCCCAAAACTGGACACAGTAATCAAGGTGTGGCCTCACCAGTGCTGAGTACAGGGGGACAATCACTTCCCCGCTCCTGCTGGCCACACTGTTTTTGATACATGCCAGGATTCTGTTGGCTTTCTTGGCTGCTTGGGCGCACTGCTGGCTCATGTTCAATCGGCTGTCGACCAGCACCCCCAGGTCCTTCTCTGCTGTGCAGCCACAATTCCCCAAGCCTGTAACGCTGCAGGGGGTTCTTGTGGCCCAAGTGCTGGACCCGGCACTTGGTCTTGTTAAATTTCATACAGTTAGCCTCGGTCCATCGATCCAGTCTGTCCAGGTCCCTCTGTAGAGCCTCCTGACCCTCAGGCAGATCAGACACTTTTAGCAGCAATTCATCTGCTGACATTAATTACGAGCTATTTTTCTTTGCTGGATCTCTCCCCTGTGTCTAAGGACATTTTTTGCTTGAAGACTGGACAGGGCATAAGCAAGGTCAGAGCAAAACCTTATAGCTAGGTGAAAAGTTGAGGAAGATATTCAGACTGAGCCACAAGGATTGAAGCATCATACAAAGGCATACCAGTAGAGCACAGAAAGGAAATATGAAAACACTGGGGTGAATAGTGAAAGCAAACGTAGAAGAGAGAAACAGGAAAGAGGATATGGCCAGAAAAATGGGAATGAGAAATGGAAAATAAGTGAAAGGCTGTTTTAAAAAAGAATTATTTTAGTGAATAAAACAGAAATCCATTTTCATCTTCAAAACGTGTGAAAACCAAGAAGGGACTGGTGCTCTGCTATAACTATCATATGGAGCTATATGTTTATATATCACAGTTTAGCTGGAGCTACAATCTCGCCTATACTCAAAAGGCAAAGCAAATTTTGAAGAAATGAGAAATGAAAACTCCAACTCTTCTGATTTTTTTTTGGAACTAGCTCTTAGTAGTTGAGTACTTCTTTTCACATGCTCAAAGAGATACTTCTAAAGAAGTGTAAATTCAACGCATGAGACATGCAATTCGCAAAGTATAGGTGACACCCCTAGCTCTGCCACGGGCTGCTACAACAGCCCTGGGTCAAATGCTCAATATCTTTTTATATTAACATCATTACTTGAGATCTAAACTACTTATAACAGAGGCTTTCTCTACCAGACAACTCCTTACTATTTGTTACAAAGTTCATATGGTATTATAACTGTTTTCTTCCAGCGCAGAGGTGGCGATATTTCAGGAATGGATGCAATGTTTCACAAAAAAAACCTGACTCTGCCAAAATCCTTACTTAGAAGGCGTGACTGAAATAGCATGACAAATAGGGCCATAAGCAATTTTCAGGCCAAACTCTTGCTGTCCCCTTACCTCACCTACTCGAAAGGGCCTGGAACCACCTCCCAGGAGTTGCTGATTAACTCACCGTTAGAGCCAGCAGTTTTCCGTAGGTGAGATGGGCTGGGATGTGGTCGCTCTTGGATCGCAGTGACTCCACGTACCAGCGCTCTGCTTCTGGCAGCCGGCTCATTCTCATATAGGCTTCTCCTACAGGGTGAAACAAATGCTAGTGAGAATGCCCAAATTTCTCAAGACTTCCATAATTTGTTATCTCATCTATAATCTACTATGTATTAAATGGGCAGAGATCTTGAAAAGGATGAAGTGCTTTGAACACCTGCAATCACACACACAAAAAGCCTTACAGACACTTGAGTGAGAAGATTGAGTTATGACTTCATTAGGACTGAAAGAGCATGGTTGAGATGAAAGTCTAGTTGGAATAGAATCGCAAAAGAGAGCTCCAGCTGCTAAGTTTCAATCAAAGTCTCAAAATAGAAATTTTATCACATCTACTATTACATCTAGTAAAGTTACTTTTCCATCAGTCTATGTTGCACAGCATTGAATGGTAGGGACAATATGGAAAGTTTTTGCATTTAATCAAAATACATTAAGAACTTAGACTTTTTAAAAAACTAGAAAAGGTTAAGAAAAAAGTCCTGAAACTATACTGGAGGGATGGGCAAGACCTAATCTCTGAATGTAGTTAAATTAGGTCATCTGCCACAATAGTTTAAATTAGAATAGAGCATCCATAATTATAAATTGCTAGTCCTAAGAAGTCATGAATGAAATGACAAAATTGGACATTTTTCAAAGTGAAATTCTTTACTGTGCGAGGCAGGTAATGTGGAAGAACAACTGATGAATGGGATGTCAGAAACCCATATACTATCGTATAGACAATTGTAGTCTTGAAGTTTCTGAGGAAGAATTTAGCGTACAGAGAAAACCAGGCTCTTTCTCCAAGAAGCAAACAACTGAATTTCTCAAAAGTTGGAAATAAGCAATATCAAACAAGTATGTAATGGTTAAGAACAGCAGCTTTCAAGATTAACACCCTGCATTTACACAGCTCTTTCACAAGGGCTCTAGATATAAATGTGCCCTTACCCAAGCCAATGACAGACTGAAAATGCCTACAGGAGAGTCAGGATTTCATCATCTCACCAGCTGATTCATCCCAAATAGATGGCTAAGTATCTTCCCAAAATGATGAAGCCACAGTTTATCCAGTGCCAACACTGGAGGATCAAGAGAGGGCTACAGCTGATCCCAAGTAGAGGTCAGCTAACGCTGTCTCCAGGTGAGTCACTGCCCCCAGTTCTGCATTACACAGAAATAAATAGCTGTGTGGGCATCAGGGAGAGAGAGAAGGACCAATGTTCTTTATTCAAGCTTGAAGTCAACTACCACACCCCCAAAAGTCAGAGAAAGAGTTGCCACCTACATGCTCTAAGTAAAATAGAAGGAACTCTTACCATGGAAGCTACTTTACCTTAAGTATTTATAAGGGTTATGGAGGATTTTCTTGATAAAAGAAAATTGGACTAGGTCCAGTTAGATTTTTTTTTTTTTTTTGCTATTTTTGTCACCAGAGGATAGGGTTGTCAGGCAAAATGTGGCACATAAGTTTGAGTTTCAAGAGGTAGGGTGCAGTGCATTCAAAATGACCAAACCACAGACTGCAGATAAAATGAGTGTGGTGTAGAGTCAGAAGTCACACTGAGTCAAGGCTAAGGGAAGCCAACATGATTTTTATGAGCAAATAGGGTTTTTCCATAAAGGGGTGCAAGCCTGTAAATCTAGCACAGGACTTCTACTTCAAGGATTTACTGAGCATTCTGTACTCATGCACTGGTCTTGGATCTGATTACATACACAGAAGTAGCTGATGTTTCAGTCCCAGAAGTACACAAGTCATTTGATTGCTGGTTAGGGCCAAACTAAAAGAAAAATTTCAAAAAACCTAAGCCAAATTAAAAAAAAAAAAAATCCAAACAGGAAAGAAACCCCAAAAGAATATGAACACCTCCCAAAACCCATGATCAAATTCAGAAATATCAATGTCATATGCATTTTTTTCACTATGTCAGCACTCACAAATAAGTGATGCAACATTATACCTTGTTATGCACAAAACAAAGTCATGAAGTCAAGTGTTGAAAGGATGGAAGAAGTAAGAAGTCAAGCTATATGCTTCCCTCAACTCCTCTCCCTAGCCATACGTTTTATGGCAGAATGTTTAATTATTTGATTACATACTAGTTTTCCCACAGGCCCCTGCTTCATTTACCATACAGGAAATGAGGAATCCATATTGCCCTTTTCTTTAAGTGGAAAATTCCAGCCCAACCTGTTACAGCTTGGCAAAGTTTCAAGCAGTTAACAACAAGATTCTTTAAAAAGTAATGTAAGCAGCCTTAAGAGATGGAGTTATTATCTGCTGGTAGTATATGCTGAATGCACTGCCAAATTTCAAAAAGATCCAAGGTTCTCATCTATTTTCTGTGATGGATTCTGATATAAGAAGAGATTAACATCTTCAGAGTACTGACAAATTCATTTTTTAATAGGTTTTAAGAGCTCAACTACTTTACAAGCTAACTTCCTGAAACTTTGAGGGTATTTCTGAGTGGCACATCTAAACGAAGCTACAATATGTCAATCTAAATGTCAAACTGTAGAGAAAGACATTTTATGCTCCTGAAAACTTTACAGGGAATTCTCTATAGCTGAACATTTTTTTTCTGAAGAGTCTGTTTTCTCCCATGAGCCCCATCATCGAGAATTGCTGTATTATAAGCAACTAGAACATGTCATTACTACAGAAGGAAGAACTGTTAGGAGTCTGTTATTAATTTCATCTTCTAAATGCTTAACAATGACACTCCTATCTAAAAAAAAAACCCCAAAGTTGAAAACTGACAAAGGCTCTGCCACCGCCATACTCAAAGACTGGAATAAAATCAAGCAACTGTTAATTGAAGTTTTAACTCAATCAAGTGCTTTTATGTTTTAGACTGATGCAATTTTAATAAAAGCTATTCCAGCTTAAGATAGTTTTCCAACAAAATGTCAGAGAAAACATGTATGGATAGACTTCCATCTTTCAGGATGCATTTGCGTGTATGACATTAAAATAAGAAAACCAGTATTTGTCATTTATGATCATGTATTTTTATTAATCTGCAACATGAATTATTTAGTCATTAGGAAATAACAGTCTCCATTGGCAGAAAATATGCAAACCAATGGTATATGTGAGGAGGTTTCTACATTTACTTTAACAATTGCTTAATTGTAAGTAAAAGTCAAAACAGAAAGGAAGATGGAGATGTACTTTGACAAGGAAATAATACACACATTCAGTCAGGATTTAAATTTCACTTTTCCATCATTTCTTTGAACTAGGAACATAAACAGGTTGCCTTAGAAAACGATGGAGAGGTCTGCATCCCTGTGTACCACAGTACCACAAGGGGTTTGTGTATTCCATAATGCAACCGTGCAGCTTCCTTGTGCAAATCAAGGCTGCAGATGCACTTACCATAAATGTACCTCTCTAGACATACAATTTCCTTCTTTCTTCCCCTAGGTACCAATGCATACAGTAATATAATAAATCTAGAAGCATAGTTTGATGTTATACTATACTGATATTTAAGATATATTGCAAAAGATTAACAGTCTTGGTGATAAATATGCAATGCATGCACATCTTCTCTGAAACAGCTGAAGCATGTGAACTTAACGAGCATCAAGTTCTGCATAGGCAAAGCATATTCTGTTTGTTTTTTATCTTTTACAGAACAATCTCCTTCCAGATTTCAAGGAATTTATTTTATTTTAAGAGGGCTTTTGATGAATGAGTGTCAATCCTCATTTACTTTGGTTGAGCAGATCCTTACAGGCCTCAATTAGCCAAAGCAAAGCCTTTGATCTGATTTAATTAGACCACTAAGCTACTTCTGAAGGAAAATACCTAAAGTGGAAAACAGATATAAATGAAGGGCAAAATAAAATCAGTCGCAGTGTGGAAAAGAGTGGACTTTGCACATCTGCTTCCTGTTGTACAAACACTTCCAGTGAAAGAAGTATATTGACACAAATAGAGGCATTGAGCTCACCTGAGATAGATGGTTTCATTTTCCAACAGATGTGCAACCAGCAGTAAATCTTAAGAGTGCAAACTAAGAACTCATAACTGAACAGGTGATTGTACTTTTTTTGCCTTTTCTTTTTGTTTACACACATTTTATTTTTTTTTGTCAGTAAAACATAGACATTATGCCAGTATAAGTTTCTTTAAAACACTCTTAACAGAAGCATTTCCCATTAGAATCGTGCCTAATCAAGATCCCTTTGGTCCAATTTCAGTATTATCATCATATTTTTGGTCTAAAATGTTATGATTACATACATTATTTCCATACAAATACCCATATATTTAAAATACAAATGTATTTCAGGCTTAAACTCTTTGTCTTTTCAGAATATTGTCTAAGAAAACACAAGCATTTCACATGAAATTACAGATCAATAGTCCAAAGAGAGAAAATTTAGAAAACCTGAGAACCTGGAAAAAAATCCCAGGTCTCAAGCATTGCGTCCACTACCCTCTCAGCAATCCACTGCTGTAACCTCCATACCCAGCTTGAATCCCTCAAACAAATAGAAAATAGGAGACATTGCAATCAGCCCAGAGATTTATACTCAGCTTTGGACAGCGGATATAAACTACCATAGTCCGTGAAGTCTCAGAGGGGGAAGGGTTAAAGTAGCAGGACGGGAGCAGGGAGGGAGAGAGAAGGAAGCCCAGCCATTTACTCTCATCACTATTGGGGTGGATTCCATTCTTATTTCCCTAGAATATATAATAAAATATATATATGAAAGAAAATAAATCCTTTTTTTTTCAACCAATCTAGTTTTAAGAAAAAAAAAGTTTGTAATGTACATTTAGTAAGAAATTACCAGTAAAGTTTCGTGAGATGCATAGGAAGCACACTGATGACTGGAGTGCAGACAAGTGCAGGTGCCACGCTTTGCATAAATTATGATGTGGGATATGTATTTCACAGCTTAATCATCTTTGGCTCTTAAAAAGTAAGTCTTGCACAGCATGAACTGTAAAACTATACCAGCAAAAGTGTTTCTTGGAGTTCTAAATATTTGAAAGTAATTCAATAAAAAAGCATTTAATGGGAGCAAGGGGCAAATGGGATAGGAGCCTTAACAATATTAACAGGTTTGTACAGTCACATCCACCCGAAAGCATAATCAAATAAAAGGATAGTTATGTTATAATCATCAACACAGAAAGTTTCTCTGCATGCTAAGCCTTTGTATTTACGATGCAAACCTCTGCACCAGATGTAATATCTGGGTCCCTTTTCCTGTTCTGTACCTGTCTGCCACTTGCATATGATTTGTTTTCTGTCCATGTGCAATGTAGCAGATTAGCAAGGAGAAATCTAAACTCTAATCTGTGCATCGCTTACTGTATTCACTGCTGCAATGTTAGCTTCTTTTGTTACTTGCATTTCTCATCAAAAATGTTTGTAAGGCTTTGCTTTAAACATATCTGAAAATAGACAGTCAGATGTTAGCTGGCAAGGGCAGATGAAGTGCGATCAAGACATTTGCCTTTATGACAGTATCTTGCCAATCTAAACCTGAACAATGCCACCCCAACATCTTTCTTGTGACTGTTCAGTATTAAAATAGAGCCTCCATGGTCCACCTCACACCACTGAACTGGCAGCAGTATGAATTACTGTAGCAGGTGGGCCAGTGTGGTTTTAAAAGCAATGTAATACAATCAACTGTACAATATCAGATTTCAAGGAATGCAAAAGACATCTAGAGCAGAGGCTGATCCTTAAGCAATCCTAATATTGGCATTAAAGTGTTCAGGATCCCACGGGGACCATTTTATCTTTTGACCTCAGGTTTTAATTGAAACTTTAAACAAAATATATTACCTATTTAATGCAGCTGAGCTGGACTCTGGCCTTTGTAGTGCATGTTGCCATGCCAAGCAAATTAATCTGTGTAACCTTAGCATGTACTTTTTAATTTACATCAAAGAAATATGACATAGAAAAAATAAATACCAAGCCAACCTTATGCAGCTTGCTGAATAATTATTTTGATTCCAGTTTTAGAGTCTTAATTTTTAGCCGTTTTAAGTTCTTTTTAGGAAAAAAAAAAATGAAAAGGTTTTACTTCTTGGTACAAAGCCAGAGAAACATATGGTTTCCTTAGCTGAGTTGTTGCACACCTGGCAAAATAAATCACAGCAACAGGAGACCAAAATCTATCCTGCAACTTTTCATATACACAAACTTAGAACATCTGATGCTGGTCTTCTGGCCCTGCCTTTTGTACCATGAGTAAAACACAAAGCCAAAAGGCTGGCTTGCTTCTTGAGGTCCAACGGCACTTCTTCCTTTAAGAGGCAAGTTACTTAGAGGATGAGAGTCAGCTGGGCAGATTGGCACACCGGAGAAATGAGTCCCTGGGCCTGTCAGAGAGAAAGGCCAATAGAAGCAAGGACAGGAAAAGACGTGTAAGACAAACAGGGAAAGCAGGTGGCGTAAAGGCTTAACACTGCTGGAGTGTTAATGCTACCGCACTCGGAGCACTGGAGTTCAAACCCTAATTCAGTTTAAACAGTTTGTCTCCTGTTTATTCTCCTTCGAGTACGTCATGTACATCATACAGGGAAAAAAGTGTCCAGAAAATCTTCAGTGAAATGATTGAATAATTATTACAAATTAGAGGAAGCACTGTTTCTTTACATCACATGCCAGTATCTAGCACTGAACCAAGCTGAGCGATTGCCAGACACTCAGAATGCATCAATCACAATAACAACTGCAGCAAACAATCCTCAAACTGTGGCTATTCTTGGATTTTATGATAAGCCATGAAGATTCTTTCCACACATAGAGAGACAGGAAAGGACCCTTCCTTCCCAAACAGATGGGGAGCACTCTCTGGTTTCTCCCCCTTCTTCCCCAGCAACGAGGACATGGTGAGTGGGGACAGCTCAGAGTCAGGTTCATGCAATTCCAAGCACACGAGACAGAACTGGCCTATTTCAGTTCCTCTAGTCTCCCTTTTAAAGGCAAGTAGTAGGCAGACAAGTTTATGTAATGTTGTTTATCAAAGAAAGTGTTATAGTGAACGTGTTTATCATTTTATCTTGAACATCAGAACAGAAATAAACAATCCAGTCGGGTGCCCAGTGAAACCGTATGAGCTGCAGAGCGGATGCAGCCCTGATAACAGATGCGGTTGCCTTGTTCTGTCACGCTTGATGCAAAGAGAAGACTGAATAGGTGTTTAGGATTTATCTCACCCAACTTGAACTAGCAAGTCTAAGCTAATCATGTCAGCTCCTTTTACAGGAGAAGCATGCTTGCAGGGGATTATTTGTATAACCTAAAATAGATGTCTAAATTCGATGGGCTTAATTACTCTCCTTAGGTTATCTTTTTCTTTCAACACTATAAGTGAGCGTAGCTACCTCATTCCGTCTTGTCATCTAACCTTTACACTGTTACAGGTCAGAAAGACCAATCCAACTAACTGCAGTCATGTTCGCTCATGTAGATGCATTCAGGACAGCTTTAAACAAGTCAGTCTGACTCCTGCTGTTATCATAGCTGCACTGCATTCAAGTCAAGTCACTACCCGACTTGTGATCCAGCCTCTTGGATTGCCTTTGCATCATAGCCAACAAGCCACACCTCAGCAACTGGTGTGAAGCAAGTTCTGGTTTCCCTGCAACAGCTGCCATCACAACAGCAACCAATATACAAATATACACTACATTAATGGTAAGTTGTACTTTACAGAGCTCCATAATAGCCTGTTGCTCTTTGCAATACGCTGAAAGGGGCTAAAGTAATCTTACTTGACCCTAACTTACTGTGCCACTAGGACACCCATGAAGTGCCGACGGCTGCCTAAAGGAAATAGAAGTCAGAGTATGGGCTGAGCAGTGGATGGAGGAAGTGTAGCAGCAGCCAAGCCTGGGCAAAGGACTGAGCTGGCCTTTGTGTTCACTATCGCTTTGTGAGTTAATAAATGCAAATCCCAGGAACACAGTGAATTTGGACATCATAGACTGTGCTTATAAAGGAAGTCGAGACAGGCCTCCTCAACCTAAAACAGTAACCAACGGGCAGAAAAGTAAAAAACTAAAGAAACCTTCAGGTCATAGTGGTTCCAAAGGGAGCATCTATTCACGGGAAAAGAAAAAGGGGACCACAAGCCTGCTTTGTGATGGAATGACCATCACGCTAGAATCAGCTTTGGTTCACTTTGTTCAGTTCCTGTACTTCTGCAGAGCAATTTTATCAGAATTATGAAATATATGTCTGCATTAAAGAGGGCAGTCAAACTTTGGAGTTTTTGTTGCAGCACTGCAGTACTTCAGCAATCAGTATAGGACACTGACAGTAAGCAGAGGCTTAATTCACAAAGTGGTGGCTGTTGATAGTATCACCAAATTTATAGGCAAATGCTGATAAATAAAACTGGTAAAATAATAGTTCAACTAAGACTCTTTATGAACAAAAGTACATGCAATAATCAACTTGTGCATTTTAAGGATTTTAGCTATCTGCATTAATCTGATAAAGTTCAGCATTCAGGGAGAAGTAACTCTCCATTGAACTGTATGAACTGTTAAGGAACTGTTTATACTATTATTGACATTACTTTGTCACTGTGACGAGAAGTACTTAATTTAGTATTTACAGAGATTTGTAAACACATAACATCAGTTACAACTCAATTCTAAAATATTTTTTTCCTATGCCCAAGTATTTGTAAGGAGCTAATAAATGATGCCTTTCCTAAGTGAGTGGTGCCTCCTTTCAACAACTGTGTCAAACCAATTGATATCAACCAATACATTCCCTTGTATTTTAGGCATTGGGAGGGAAAAAAAAAAGCCACAAAACCACACATGCATTCTGTTGATCCTAATTGTTTCTAATTGTTTAGTTGCTCTACTTTGAACTACTTTAAAGGCATCTTACATTCTTTTCCGTCCCAGATAGAAGCTCACAGAGTCTACTGGGCTGGACACTGAGTTTGCTTAGCAGAAACACATGCCCTTCCAGAGAGAATTCCACTTAAAAGCATCTCTGGAACAATGAAGAATCTGTTCTGTTCAACATCCACACTAAATCTTATGTTATAATCAATCTCACTCCGTTTTCTATGAAGTAAATACAATTTCTGCTTAATTTCAAAGAGGATAAGGTGGGAGAATTGCATATGAGGTCTCCAAGATAGCAGATCAGAGATTCCAGAGGCAGAGAAAAACACCATGCGTTCTAACTGTACAAGCGCTGCATGGACACTCTTAAAAATATCCAGTATCTAACAATCTCATTGTTTATTGTGCCTATCCAGCATTGCAGTTGGCATTTAAGCTCTGAACCTGGTTTGCCTCATATCTATTGAAGGTAAGTATTTTTATTAGCTAATTCATTTGAGCATCAGTTGCCTGGCAAAGCTATTTTCTTTCACCCTGTCTGACTCCTAAAGTATCTCTCTGAAGCGCTAAAAATGCACTTACCCATCATGTTGTATAAGCTCTGTGGGGCAAACTGCCTTGGCATTTTCTGTATCGCTTCTTTGTAAACCATAAGAGCATCCTGAAAAGAAACACCCAAGTGGGACAAATCATTAGTAAAGCACCAATTTCAAAAGCAGTCTTTCACATAGAAAGTAAAACCAAACTATTTTCCTTCCCCAAATGAAAGGTGCAGAGAGAGAAAGCAAACACATCGGTGTCATAAATATCACAGAAATTTCACTGTGAATATTTCTCATTTACAAAAGTTTTACCAAATTCAGTGAAGCTTATTAACAAGAGATCAAATTAGTTCCAGTATCACAACTCTCTTTCCAGGTGGAAACAAAAGGAACGTTTTCTTAAACCCCTAAATGACTCAGGAGTTTATAAACATATATAGAATTCTATAGGCTATAGAATATGGAATAATATCAAACTGCAGACAAAGGACTTTCTGACAACTAAGCTACAGCAAGTGACCTAAAAATAAAGAAATCATTGTCTCCTGCCAAGTAATAACAAAACATAATCCTCACAACTGAAGTCTGCTTCACAGAAAAAATGAGATGGACTATAGTGTCAAGAATGCCAAAATTGGTTTCTCTTTGCAAATGTGCCGTGCCTTGAATTACTTGATCATATGTTTATGATTCATTCAGCACTAAGGGTGCTTACTGGTCAGTCTGTTGCTCTGCATCGTTTTCTACACCATCTCATTGAATAGTTGCAACTTATGAAGGCTAAAATATGCTTGGAAAAAAATCTAAGTGTATGATGAAATCAAGGCTGGGTCAGACTGCAATGAGCACAAGGCAAAAATCTGACGGTTTATATTCTTAAAATCCCTTGCACCTCCCAGGCATTGTGCTCCAACTCTACACTCTATCGGCCATACAGGCGACATGCTGCTGTTCTCTTATCTTTATGAATGTACTAGCTGCCCGTGTCTGTGTTTTAACCAATTAGTAACTGCCACCTGACAGAGCTGGATTCAGCAGACAGATGACAGAGAATCCATAGAGCTTGTGCATGCCTGTCACAATCAGGAAGAGTTATATGGATCAAAACAATGCTTAACTCCTGTTCTGAAGTATGTCTGGCAATGCAGAGAGAATTACTTTCTTTCAAATATTGCTAAACGTCAAGTGAATGTCTAGTTTTAGTAATTTCACCAGGGAGAATGAACAGAAATCACAACATGATTTGCACATGTAAATGAGATAGGATGGGTTGGGTGCAGCATACACCTACAAATATGCAAGCCACTTTAGCACTTAGGTCAAGTTATCTGAAAATAGCACATAATGGGATATTTTTAATCACTGAGGTTCTGAATTCATAGAATCATAGAATGGTTGGGGTTGGAAGGGACCTTAATGATCATCTAGTTCCAATCCCTCTACCATAGGCAGAAACACCTTCTACTAGATCAGGTTGCTCAAAGCATCATCCAACCTAGCCTTGAACACCTCAAGGGATGGGGCAGCGACAACAACTCTGGGCAACCTGTTCCAGTGCCTCACCACCCTCAATGTAAAAACTTTCTTCCTTATATCTAATATCTTATATCTAATATCTTATATCTAAGTCTACCCTCTTTCAGTTTAAAGCCATTTCCCCTTGTTCTATCAATACATGCCCTTGTGAAAAGTCCTTCTCAGCTTTCTTGTAGGCCCTCTTTAAGTACTGGAAGGCTGCTATAAGATCATCCCGGAGTCTTCTCTTCTTCAGGCTGAACAACCACAACTCTCTCAGCCTGTCTTCATAGCAGAGGTGCTCCAGCCCCCGGATCATCTTCGTGGCCCTCCTCTGGACCCGCTCCAGCAGCTCCATGTCCTTCTTGTGTTGGGGGTCCCAGAGCTGAACGCAGTACTGCAGGTGGGGTCTCAAGAGAGCAGAGTAGAGGGGCAAAATCACCTCCCTCGTCCTGCTGGCCACGCTCCTTTTGATGCAGCCCAGGATATGGTTGGCTTTCTGGGCTGCCAGCGCACATTGCCGGCTCATGTTGAGCTTCTCATCCACCAGCAACCCCAGGTACTCCTCCTCCGGGCTGCTCTTGTTCCAACTAGATCTTATTTTTGAAGACTCAAAAGCAAACAAATTGCATTTTTTCAACTAAAGATGGACAATTCTATTTTGAATTAAAAAGCCAGTACATTTTAGGTTGGATGGTCTGTAATCAGGCTATATCCTTTGCATACCAGTCATGGGGACAAAGTCAAAGAGAATGAATTCAACGATATCAGATGTGACCATTGCTAATGTTGACTCTGACACCAGAATATCACACTGCTAATTAACATCGTCATGTCTGTGCCTGTAGAGAATAAATATTCTCCGTAGAGAATGCTAATCTTAATTTGGTGAAATTCAATCAATTTGTGCCTGTCATGTATTTTGAAAGTCTGGATGGAAGTAATAGGTATTATTTATGTATGAAGGTTTTAACACGATGTTGTAGACAAATCTGGAGTCTTACCTCATAGTGTCCTTGTTCATGAAAAAGTTTTCCTAAGTTATAAAGACAGCTAGTAACAGAGCTTTTATGAGCATGAGGATCTTTCAAATTTTCATCAGGGATCTCTGAACACTTCAGGAAAGTCTTCCTGGCTTCCTCTGTCTTCCCTTGGTTCATCAGGATGATACCAGTATTTAAATAGGCAGCTGTGAAGAGGCAAAAAATGTTATCTTTTAATCGCGTTCCATTATGTTTTATCTCATCTTTGTTTTACTTGAAAGTAATACGTGAAAGGGATCCCATGGTTATTTAATTTGGCTTTTGTATAATATAGATCAATCACTGATGTAAAGAGAAACATATAAGAGGTAAAAGTTCAGAGACCAAGAAAGGAAGAAGTGGCTACAAAGACTGAAGAAGGAGGGAAGGGAACACTGGATAGGCAGGGTGCACCATTTTGTTCCTCTTACTAGAAATGTATCAAGCATATAGTGTCATTGTTTGAAATGTTACAAAAATATATACAAATGTTTATACATATATCTGTGTGTATATATACATATATACAAGGTTCAATACTTAAGCTACAAAAGAGTCAGCAACTTTAAAAAGCACCCACTTATTTCTGGAATCTATGACCAGCAACATCCTATGGATTATTTCCCATTTTCCCCAGGCAAGAAAGCAAAAATGAAAAGGGCTTCAAAAATATTTATATTTTTCACCCACACCACATATCATAAAACTCAGGGACTGGCTGTAAGAAACAGAAAACAGGAGCCTGAAAATTTGGGCAGTAGCATCTATGGCTCACCAACCCAGACCAGAAGCATTTTAGGTTCTAGCAGTGCTGCCCAGCGTTAACTCATTATCTGCTTCTTCCCTGCACCACATTAAAGGTAGTTGTTGACTAATAAACATTTGCTTTCAATTGAAAAGTGCAAAATTTCATCTTTTGCTTTCCAAATGAAAAACTTCTGGAAAAAAAAGAAAGCGTTATTAAAGAATAAGAAGATTTCCTTAAAAAAAAAAAAAAAAAAAGTCGTCAATATTATGCAAGCTTGTATAGTTGCAATACTTACAAGCTAGTGTGGGTCTGCTACCAATTGCCAGTTTATAGTAATGCAATGCCTCTGAAAACCTGCTGTTTTCTTGAAGTAGCAATCCTCTGCAGAAGGACAAAAAAAAAAAAAAGAAAGAAAAGGAGAAGAGAGGAAGGTTACTTCAAAGAGTAACGAGATATAACAACTGCACGTTACTAACAATTCAGTGGGAAAATTATTTTGTGTGAAAAAAGGATTAATTCACAGACATCAGGTGCATCCATATGGCTCAACAAAGCAGATGTTAAATGAAACAGTTTTGGCTTTCTTGGAAACCAGGAGATTTATTTACTCAATTGAGAAAATGGTAGACCGTGAGACTTTTTAAAGTGGATGGACTATGGTGGAGCTATTTGTCACTAAGTCATCCATGTTTAGCGTGTTGTCTTTTCTTGAGTTGAAATAAGCAGATCTTTTTCTAACACACAGTAAAGTTAACCACCTAACACTTACCTTAACTAGTCCCCTTGTTGAGTAATTTCACTAGATTATTCACTGTACAGCTAAGTGCTTACATCAGTTCAATTTTTTTCTGTCTTCTTTCGGTGAATAACTTTTAATATTAACAGAGCTTACATCTAGCTGGTACTGGCAGTAATACAAGCAATCAGAGAATAACATCCAGGACACTTTTTGGCATAGTAACAAAGTTTTTAACTACTGTCAAGTGTCTTGCAGGTGGCAAGAGGTATGATCATTAGGATAGTAATAACATTTTCTAAATTTTCTAGAACTTAAATTTTGGTTACTGTAAACATTTTTATAGACTGCAATTACTCCAAGGGAAAACAAACAAATAAATAAATAAATAATAATAATAATAACAACAACAACAACTATTATTATGCTATTTTGATCCAATATTTCTATTAATAGCAGTAGAAGTAACACAAAAATAAATGAGTTGCATGGTCTGACATTTAAGCTGCTTCTAACTTTTTTTTAAAAAAACCAAAAACATTCTTACACACAATTTTGGGATAAATTTATCAAAGAAATTCCATTCTTAGTTTAGTTCTGGAATAAATAATTTCACATATTAAGAGAAGTAATACTGAAACTGGTCAACTTGAACAACATTAAGTATTTTGGTAAGCATATAACATCTGTGCTTTTTGAATTAAAAGAGCTTCTATTCATAATTATTACCAAATTCATCTTCTGTGTTCACTATGTGCTCTAGTACTGGCACTCTTGGTTAATTACTTCATACTTCAGGGTGGCTGTTTTTTTTTTCCCTACTCCTCTTTCAAAAGACTTTTTTTCCATTGTTCCATTAACAGACATTGTGTGTCTCTCTCATGTACAGATTTTTCTAATATATATATGTAAATATATATATAAAACCAAGCTAATTAGGTGCAAGATTGCATGCTGAATTCCAGCAAATTATTAGTGTTTTGTTTCTATTTGTTATGAGGTTTGCTAGAAGAAAAAGAAATATATTTAAAAAAAGGATATATTCTAGAAAACCTTGACAAGGCACGAAACTGCCTCTTCTCCATGTGAAATTGGTCCTGATTGATCGCTGGTTTTCCCTGTGGCTTCAGAGAGTACAGAAATGAGCAGATTTATGAGTCTTTAGTTCTAGTTTCAGATTAAACAAAGTCAGGAAAAGGCTTAAAGGAAAATGACAAAATAATTTTAGTTGAATAAAATTAACACTTAGTAGAGTATGCTTCTGAGATAACGGGCTTGGATGTTCACCTATGAAGGCATAAATAGATATTTAAACAGATAAAAAGTTATGATGATGAACATTTCATTAAACTAGAAAAGCATTTCTGAATTTCAAGGATATTAGAAGACTTTAAAGAGCAGATATATTTCACTTCCAAGATGAAAAATCAGATTGTCTCTAGCTTTAAGTTCAAACAAAATACAGGCATATAAATACGTTCACCAACTTCTATCTAATTACTCACAAAATGCAACTAAAACTAAAACCAAGCACTTCAAATTTAGTTACCGCGAAAATTAATACTGCCTGTGAAATGTCCTACTTCTCTTTTTAAAGCATATATTATAATTCTTGTCTCTGACTACTTTATTGCTCATTATTACTTCCACAGGTCTACCGTCTCATTCACCACACAGAAGGAATATAAATGAGCAATAATTCAATATTTGCTTCTGTCTCCAGTTTCTACAAGTAAAACACTACCACCTTTTTATAAATATTTACCTTTTGAGCAAAATAGAAAATAAGCCCCAGGATCAAACGACAAACTACTGTTTATTTCAAAATTAGCTCATGAAAACCTGCAGGTCCTTGGGTCTTATATTCTTTCCGTTGTTGTATTTCACAGCATCTAAGCCATTTTCAAGACAAAAAACATGCTGATTTTCAGGTAGGCATTACGTCTGAGAGGCAGACCCAAGGTTCTGAGCGCAGTTCAGCCTTGCTACCACATTGCTAAATCCGTGGACCTGGTCAGTGGAGACAGCAGGGCCAGTGAAGGAACGGCAGCCCAAGGGATGGGTCCTGGGAGCGAAGCGGGGATCTCACTTTTGAGGCTCTCTGCTGGCTGCTCCAGTAACACTGAGTTCAGGCAGCAAGCCCCAGCACTGCCTCTGAAAGCGGCTGGCCTTGAAAAGTTATAACCACTGTCAAGATGAACATGAAGCAAAGACATGAGCTCAAGTGAGGAATATCTAAAGAGAGATTGTCCTTCATTACATGGTTGCAAAGAGGTCATTAGAGCAAGTACTACCAAAAGGGTGTGTTCAGCACTTGGAGTTCCTTCCAAAGAAGCTGAGAGGTTGAACACAACTATCTTTGCAGTCTGTTAAGTTATATTAACAACTCTTCAAAACAAGCTTCAACTGGAAGTTTGATTATATATTCTTTCCTTCTCCTTCAGAAATAGGTTATTTTGCCAGAAATGCTTCCTTTTTCATTTGAGTTGACTTTGGAGTCTCTTTCACTTCAGAACAGAGGCCAAAGCCACAAGAGGAAAGTTTGATATGCTTATGTCTTATTTTCACGTGCTTTAGCATTTACTATCTTCCAGTTAGGAAATTTTCAAAGATACTAAAAATTATTTTTAAATTGCTAAAAATAAAACTGAGCATCTTCATAAAGATACATTAAGGGGAAAATTTGAAATACAACTTTTCTATGCCAAGTCAACTAGAGAATTGCAAAGCATCCTTCAAGCAAATAAGGACGTATAGTTGTACAGAAAGAAGTTGTGGTATCATAAGCTGGGAACTAATAGCTGCCTAATTACCATAGTCAGCTAAGCTTGCAAGAAATAAGCTGACTAGAGAATAGAGGAGCATGAACAGAGCAGATGAAGTGAAACCCACAGGCAATAACAATGAAAGTCTGTGACCTCCCTGAAGTTCTTAGCATCTGTTTGTTCAGTTCCGTTTTGATAGTCCCAATTCCTTCCTTCCTTCCTTCGACAACCCATTTCCCTCCAGCTGATTGCTAGGGTTGAAGTCAGAAACTGGCAATGGCAGACGGAGTCCGTACTTCCTTGTCTACTGGCTCTTAAAATTTTTAGATTAAAATTAGTTCTTTTCCACTCATCTAGAAAGGAGTGATAACGGAATAATGGTGAGTCTGTAGAAAATGGCAACTCTTTCTAAAAAAGGTTCGATGCATGCATATTTCCATCTTTTCTTGTGAGGGAAAAAAAAAAAAAGACTAAATTTTTAGCCAAAACTTTCCCATTTGGCCAGTAAATTTATCTAATTCCACAATCAAACAATTTAAAGTTTGTCTGTCAGGCTTATTATTATGTTTTATTACATTGAAGACATCTTTAAAAAGTTCAGGGTGCATTTGTAAAGCTCAGCAAATACACAGTTCTACTCCATTTCCTTTTAAAGAAGACAGTTGACTTTCAACTCACATTGCCACTTCCTTTCTCTATAGTAAATACAGTGAAGGGGTGAGGGGGAAATTTGCTCTGAATGACGAATTTCTAGGTGCAGAGGAAGAACTTCCCTCAGTGGGAGTTCACACCTTGCAGGCACTGTCGAGTCTCCAGTAGTTCACCCATTCCAGTGGCCAGGGCAGATGGCTACATAAGGAAGTTCCTCCTATGGCCAGGAGTGGATCTGTTCTTGACATACTTTTCCCTTTCTTCATTTACACTTCAGAATAACTACTGCTCTTTGGAGATTGCTGGCAAAGGAGAGAAGGAGTGGACAGAAAGAATACAAAAGCAGAGATACAGTGCAAAGCATTGAACGTAGAGCCAGTCATGGTGCAGAGAAATTGGCACGCGTTGAGTACATGCCTATCTTTTATAGTTACAGAGGCACAAAGCCTTCCTTCTGCCTCACGCAAGTATAAACAACCGAAAGTATGTCCTTGAAATAAGGATGCTTGATGCAGAAGAGTAAACTCCAGTTGTAAACTTAGATGGGGAACTTAAAGTCTTTTGGCACCTTTTAATAAACTTTCTACAGTTGCCAAGAATACCAAGCTAAATAAATAAAAGAGCATAACCTCAAAATACCCCAAAAACCTCAAAACCCAGGACCAGTTGCTTCAAGTTTGCAGTTCCAAAACACTTTCTCTCCAGTCCACCTCCCAGACGTAAGGCAGATAAAACGTTAATTGAAACATGCAACTTCTGTTCAAAGTTTACTGACATAACTAGGAAAATGTGAAGTCTATCAGATGGGTGGAGGGTGGAGAGGGAAGTCAATGGCTCCTTTAGCCTAATATAACAAGTACTGTGGAATAATAAAGTTTCTCTCTAGAAACACATAAGGATGAAATTACTTGGAAAAGAAAAAGCTACTTAAACCACAGGATGCAAAGTAAACAGCTATAAATTGACCATGAATTAATGTAGAGTTAATTAGGAGAAAAGTTCTAACTATCATAGCAGCAAGATTCTGGAACAACCTTACAACAGGATTTTTTTTTTTTTTTTTTGCCTGCATTGCTTCTAGCTAATTTTACAGTGGAGTGTGAATCATTTATGAAACAGAGGTTATGTGCTGACTGCTTGCAAGAGTAGCAGACTTGACCAAGTGACTTCAGAAGTGTCTCAGGATCCTGTTTGTCTGACAAGAAGGAAAAAAAAAAAAAAGAGAGAGA